GGAGGATTGACAGCTTGGAAAGGAGGAGGTTAGGGAAGAGCTTGGAGAGATTGACAACTGGGGAAGGGAGGAGATTGGGGCGGGGGGTTTGAACATACACTGAACAAATATCAAATTAAAGAAAAACACACCACAACAATTAGGAAAAAAGAAATAGGGTGAAGTCTGTGTGTGAGAGGGAGGTTCACATTCTTGAATGAATAAAGTGAGGATTACACATGTCCTTAGTGTCTGTTTTTGAGTGGAGTCCAGGTCCCTGGTACTGGGCTTGGACTGCTTTCTTTCCATCCTTTCTTCTTTTCTTTTGCTTCTACCTCTCCCAACCCTTTTGCTGTGTGCAAACTTCATATTTATGTGAAGACCCCTGATTCTTATGGAGCCTTGTCAGATTTATCTATGCTAAAAAAGGACTCTTAACCTGCAAGCTGTGTTTGGGGCAGTAGCAGAAGAGTAAAAAGGACAGTCCTGGGTTGAATCAGGAGAGTGACGTATGGCTTCTTCCCTTGGAGGGGAAAACAATAGAAGGTTTTCCCATTATCTGGGAATTTTTTTCCAGGGCTGGATTATCAAGAGCTACCAGCTCTTGCCATCTCCTTCTAGGAGTCTATGGCAGCTGTCCACAGACTGAGGCTATAGCATCATGCCTGAAAGGAGAATTGCATAATTGTGCCTTCCCATTCCAGGTCCATTGCCAGTATTGCCATTTCTGAGCTAACACAGACAGCATCCAATTGATACAGAGGCTGATGAGATTGACCTCCGGTCAAGTCCATCTTCTTTGTTGCTACAGCTGCTGGCTGAGCATGCTGTTAGACATGGCTGGGCAGAACCTGAGTTTGTAACCCGTGGATCTGACCTGCAGTTTCAGCCAGTGTGACTGTGAGTTAGTGAACTGGGTGCAAGCCAGTGCAACTGGGTGTTGTTGCTGGTTGTTTGGGGATTTTTGTTGGGTTTGTTTGTTTGTTTTCTTCCTTTGGATATACAGCAGGACTTAGCTCTCTTCCAGCTATAATTTTCCAATATGTCAAGTTTTCCAGTTCTAATGGAAAGATTGAATGTAATTATGGCAAATAGTAATGAGTGGAACAGCAGAGGAACAAGAGAAGAGAAAAGTGCATTCTTGTCGAATCACTCAGAAATTTATTAAGAATGGGGTGATGATGGGGAGAAAATTGTTATAGGTCTGTTCCTCACAGGGATGACAGAAAAGAATTAGGTTTATGGAAAAGAGTGTATGAATCTATTGTGTGAGTTTCGGAAAGGGGAATGGCTCTGTTGACTGACAGAGAGGTGCAGCTGATGGCAGTCAGCCCAGAAGAACTAACTTTCAGTTCAGAAGTTTCAGAGTTCTCCACATTAGGTGAAAAAAGCTTTGGATAAAACAATCCTTGACTTCAAAGGGGTTATAGTCAAGAAAGGGGAATCTGCAGGGCCTTGTTTGATCATGTGAAGCAGAGCAGTATGCCCTGGTTTCACAGGTGGCTGATGGTATTCTGGGCTGCCAGCAGGTCAAGGAGGTGATCCTGTCCCTGTGCTGAGCACAAATGTGGCCACACCTGGAGTGCTCCATTCTCCTGTGGCTCCCAAGTACACAGTACCAATGTGATTGTAACAGGAGAGGCAAGGGCAAAGAAGCTGATGAAGGGACTGGGATAACTCACATATGAGGAAAAGCTGAGAGACCTGTGACTCTTGAGCCTGGAATAGAAAAGGCTTAGGAGGATCTTGCCACTGTGTACAAAATACGTGCAGGGAGGATGTGGCCAGGCTCTTTTCCGTAGTGCCCAGTGACAAAACCAGAGACAATGGGCACAAATTGAAGCACAGGAGGCTCCCTCTAAACGTTGGGAAATATGAGGATGACTGGTCACTAGCACAGATTGTCCAGGGAAATTGTAGAGTCTCCATCCTTGGAGATATTCAAAAGCTTCCTGGACCATGTCCTGGGCAACCAGCTCTAGGTGGCCTGATTGAGTAGGGATGTTGGGCCAAATGACTTCCAGGGGTCCCTTTCAACCTCAACTACCTTGTAATTCTGTGATTTTGTGAAAAGAGTTATTTTCTTTGAAAATGTACTTGGTAGAAGTGCCCTTTTCCCCTCTTCTTCTTCTTCCCCCTGGGTCCCACCCCAACCTTTGTTAGAGTGGGCAAAAAAGCCCCAAATTGAAACTTTTATTATTCTGGTGGTTAATAAGAAATAGAACCAGCTTATACAGACTAAAATGCAATCAAAGTGGCCAGAGTAATGAATAATGAGTGTGTGTGAATAATAGCAGCAGCTCTTGTCCTATGTAATAATTATAGCAGCAGTTCTTGTTCTGCCTAACAGCTCCTGGGAAAGGAGACATTAAGTGGGTGCAAGGACACAGGAATCTGCAGTATATGGTCGAGTGTTCACAGCAGTGGATAAATTAAAATCTTCCTGCTGTGATATCTATAACTAGCCCTGAAATGGATTATCCATTTAGGGATACATCATTAACTAATGAGAAGCATGAGATTCCTAAGACTATACTCTAGTTTGGTTAGAATTAAGATAAGATGCCTTTCTGAAAGCTGGAGTTGATTAAGCACAAGGTAACTATGTCTTGGATTTTAGCCCTGCAGGAGTGGCTAAGGAGTTACTAAGGAGAGCTCCTGAACCCTGTGTCTGAAGATAGATAAATTTTCTCTGAAAGAGATATAACAAGTGACCTTAGAACAACTGATCTTAAAAAATCCCTCTGGGTGTTCCCAAAAGGAATCTGGGGATGAGATTGTTACAGTTGGATGCTGGGCCTAAGGGTGGCAGCAGTAGTGGTAGAAATTCAGCTGAAACTGTACCTATACAACCACCAGAAGTCTCCAGACTCTAAGGCATTTTACTTGTAGGAAGGGAAATTTTTACACATTTGAGACAGAATCACAGAAATCTTTGGGAGGATGGATTGTAAGAGAATAGAAATAGTACTGAAGGCAATCTCATCCCTGAGGAGTTGCAGCTGTACTAATTACCAAAGAGTAGGAGCAGCCTTGCCTTTATTATGTCTCTGCTGTGTCCAGCAAGGATGGGTGTTATAAAAGAGTGGGTTAGCTGATGGAGAGGTAAGTTGGCGTTTGTTGGCTGTGCTGTGTAAGGGTCAGGCAGTTGTGCAAGGGACAGGAAGGAGTCAGCCAGCCATGGGGAAGGAAGAGAAGTCAGTGCTGTGAGGAGCTGCCTGTGAGAACTCACAGAGAGAAGGTATGAAAGTCTTATGGTAGGATGATAACTGATGGTGACAGTCACTTCCCATTCATCACTGATTGGTGGCAAGCACCGACACTGACAAAAATCCTTTAACAGTCAAGGAAAATGTCTGGAATTGCTGAAAAACAAAAATAGGGTTAATTGACAATAGACTGAGAGTATAGATGTCTAAATATTTAGCAAATTTCAATCATCTATTTAGGAAAGAAAAAAAAAAGTTTTCAACAAGGACTCAGTCTCATGTACAAGCTCAAATTCAGCCTCTCATGTTTGGGCAAAAACTGCATTTATCTTCCAGCTGTTCTGGTCTTTATTCTATTTCTCAGAGAGGGCTTCATTCTCTGTGAATTATCCCTGAAGCTGTTCTTGCTTGTGGGTATTCACCCCTACATTTTTTTATTTCTTGTGTTGGAATTTAGAAGAACTGCTTTTTGGTTAGTTTGTTTTGTTTGTTTATTTTTAAGAAAGATCTACTTAACTCCTTAGGCATCATTCAGCTATCTTTCTGAGTTAGGAGAAATACGCAGTTGCTGAATCTGAGCTATATTTCCTCTTTGCTGTTGATCTGAAAGTGAAGGGTAATTCATTACTCTTTGCCTGTCTCTCCACAGTCAGGTCTTCTCATCTTCTGTCTTTGTTGCCTATGGAATGAAGACAACCAGAGAAGGCAAAGCAGAATCTGTGCTGCTGGCTGTGGGCTGCTGCCTGCAGCCCTTGGCAGCAGCCAGTGAACTGTTCTCTTGTGCAGGGCTCTCTGGCTCAACTGCAAAATAACCTTCGTAGGCTGCAAGTAAGGCCCACACAGGCCCTCCATCTGATTTAGAGTTCAACAGGGTTTTTGTGAGAAGCTGATTTTAATTGCCTGATAATTTGAACATGGATATAGTGATTTCTGTGTCATTGGCTCATTAACTGAATGCAACAACAAATTAATATAAATTGGTTATGAATACATGGAGGTGGAAAATTAGTAGTTACCTAAATTATCTTTGAAACAGCCCAGCAAAATACTCAAGTTCATTGTGAACCCTGCAAAATTTGTCAAGGACTACCACAGACATCCAAATGTGTTGAAGATTATGGATACACTTAATCTTGATTCTACAACTTAACACTGCAGTCTTTCCTATCTCAGGAGTCTTCTAGCCACCCTTCCTTCCTGGCAATGTCTTGCATCTTCAAGGTCTGCATGATTCCGTGTAACCCCTGATAGCTATTTGGTTTCCATTCCTTTCTTGATTCAGCTGAATCCCTGGATGTCAGATGAGGGAATAGTAACCATAGCCCTGTTTCTGCCAACGCTTTCTTTCATCCTAGCCATGTTGGTCTTGGCAGACCTAATGTTCTTGTACTCTCCAGACGTCCAATTCCTAAGCCAAATTTTATTTAATTCTAGGCAAACTACTGGCTAGATCACCTCTCCTATTATACAGACCCCTGACTACACCCTGGCCCAGATTAACAATGTGTCAGAAGTTTAGCTTTCCTCTTGTTCCAAACACAAATTCCAGTCACAACTCTGACCATAACCTGAATATCCTGTTTTTGTAAGTCAATTCCTTGAGTACCATTACTGTGACTGGAGAGACTGATCTGTCCCAGAGTTACGTGTCCCTATTGGTGATGTAAGTCATTTTAGCTCTGTGTACTGTGGATGATTGACTAGGAAGTGGATTTCTTCCATTCCACCTTTGTTTGAGAGTTTAGGTTTTCATAATCCCAATTTTTCTTGGTGAGGATCAGGGTAAAAAACTATTATTATCAAAAATCAGGTATTCTCTGTTTTCTCTGGTGTGTATATCTTGCCAATCCATAACAGATCTCCAGTTCTTCCTCTCCCAAGCTATTACAGTTTCTGTGTAGGTCTAGAATTATGAGGTAGTTATAACTATGAACGTATAGAATCATACAATGGTTTGGGTGGAAAGGACCTTAAAGATCCTCTAGATCCAACCCTCCTGCCATGAGTGGGGACACCTTCCACTAGACCAGGTTGCTCAAAGCCTGATCCAGCCTGGCCTTGAACAAGGGGTATATAACCTGTCTTGATATACCTGGGATGGACAACAACCAGTATAATTGTTTAACAGTCAGGGTTGGGATTGAGTTTAGGGATACCAGGTTCTGAAGTGATTGATTTATTGGTGGATTTTGCAAGTTTTGTAGGGGTAAGGTGGAATTGTGTTCTGGTAAGGCAGAGTTAACTCTGGATGTTGTTGTAAGATCAGAGTTATTTTTGGGCTGGGAGCAACATGGCATAAAACCTCATGTTTTGTGAAATACTGAGGTATCCTGAGGAAGAAGGGGACATTAAAGAGAGGTGAGCTGAAATCAGATAGGAAATTGAAATTATTTTAGATTTGCATGTGTCACTTCAGCTCAATTTACATATTTCCTTTAAACTAAATTACCACCATAAGTTAATGGTATTTTACAATTAACAGTCCTTGTGCACTTAACCAACCATCTGTAAATGGATGCAGAGGTCATATGCAAGCCACACAAAACACACTGAATCTCTCCACTCTTGGTGCGGCAGAAGCTTTAGAATAATGCTTGTTTTGGACAAAAAAACATAATTGAGTTTTTCCTGCATCCCTTATGCAAGAGAAAAATAAAGACAGGTTTGAAAGAATGAAATACAAGGCTTAATAAAATCCATGTGGAGACTGAGAAAAAGCTCAGGTAGCTTGCTCCAGGGATGGATTTTGCCTGTTCTACAATGAATGGTGACTTTTCTACCTCTGCCTTTCTTCCTCTGAAAGAACAGTGCAATTTCCTTTTTTCTTCCCATGCTTTGTAGTGTATATAATATGATTACATTTCATCATACAATGAGATTCCACATTGTTATAATTTCATTCTGATGTGGTTTGTTTTTTAATCACATCCCTTTACCTTTTCTAAATCAATATCCAATCACTGTTGCTTCAAGGGAAAAAATATCAATTCATTAAGACTTGCCTGAAAGAAGAGTATGAGCTTTATCTCAGTAATGTGCATGACAGTTTAATTAATAATTTAGATATTTTTCATTATTTTCCACCTCTTATTCAATGGAAATATCATTTTGGAGTTGACATAGAGCAAAGTAGCAGGACTAAACCAGAAAACCCAGTTATGAAACACTTTTTCCAGGGTTCCTGTCTAAACAGTTAATTCTCCCATTCTTGAGAAGGTCAATCTTACTGCTGCTAACTTGGCAATCACCAACACATGTTTTTTTCATGGCTTGTACCAGTCTTTTTCAGTTCTTGTATAAGAGATGTCTCAGTATTCTGAACTACCACAACTGTTGAAATAGTGGTGTTTGGCTTTATCCTCATCTGTTTTCTGTGCATAAATAGATGTTTTCAGCTATCCAATGGGAGAAGGATTTTTTCCTTCTATACTCAAAGTGGACCCAGTGTCCTTCAAGTAGTACACAGGTAAGGGATGGGGGGCAATGGATACAAGCTGCATTAAGAAAAATTTAATTGACATTAGGGAAAAAAATTGTAGGCAATCAGATATTGGAAGATGTTGCCTCAAGAGAGTGTGAAAGATGTTTGAAGACACTCTGAACTCAATTGGTTAAGGCCCTGAGCTACTTTATCTAATGGTAAAGATTCTCCTGTTGCATGCTCAGTCCAGATGACCTCCTTAGGTCCTTTTCAAGTTAAATTAGTGTATGATACTCACCAAGAAGTAATCAAGATGCCTGTGCTGACTATGAACTGACCTTATCAGGCAGTATTGCCCCTATTTCAGTCAGCAAATTACTTTACCTGATAAGTGTGCAGCATTTTCTAAGTGTAGAGCTGTAGCACAGTAAGGCTGTCAAAGTTGATGTAAGTGGTCCCTATCTCCTTAGTCATTGCCAATAACGTGCAAATTAGTGTCTTTATCCTACCACATCTGTTTTCTGCAACTCACTGGGGAGGGAACTGATAAGGATGGTAATTTTTTTCAGCTGGATGAATCTAGTCTGTACTGTCACATATTTGTAGGAATAAACCAGGAAGATTCAGCTTGAGACTAGTGAAAAAGCTCAGTCCTTCATCTTATGAAAATACCAAAGAATTCAGTAAAGCCTCCTTGCCATAGTTTCCCTCTGCTTTAGAAATTGCCTTTTTCACATGGAGATTTTTTATGTAGCAGTAGAACCCAGGTTAGCAACAGGAATGATTCATGTCTTCTGGTCATTTTCTGCAAAGTTTAGTTCCATCTTCTAAAAGACAAGAAAAATAAGGAGACTGAAGACTTTGTAACAGTCGAGGCCATTTCACATATGTGTTTGCAGAAATAAAATTATAAGGCTTCAGGGATCAGTCTAACCAAATATAAAATTATGTGCATTGGTACATGTTTCCATTTAAAACTAGGAATAATTTTTAAAAATGAAACTAGGTGGAAATAAAATAGTAATGGGTTGATCACTATATGCTGTAAATTCTTGAAGCATAGCCTAATGTGTAAGCAACCATAACCTTTGGGGAAAAGAAAATAGGGCACTCAAGGCTTTCTTGCCCTTGTCTTAGTTTTGTGGTTTGGCAGTGGGGAGAAGCTGTAGAGAGAAAATATTGTAAGCTGAGTCCACGCATTTATTTTTAGTTTTATATGAGGAATTTACTAATGGCAAAATGTCCTTGAGGTTAGGAAGAGGGGTTTTTTTCCTTGGCACAGATAAGTTTCTGCATTCCAATTTTGTTGTGATATGCTCTTTCCAATTAATAATAAAGCATTTTGAGAGGAAACAAGGAAAAGCAATGAGACTGGGGAGGCCAAGTTATTAACCCAGTGTTATTTTGCCCTTATAAGCAACAATTATAGTCTAGAGCACACAGGTGCCATTAAGTTTATCCCTTAGACCAGAGCCAATTCCTTTCTCCTACAGATTTACTCTCATATATACTCTGTGAGTTCAACTTAGTTCAAAATCCAAAAACTTGCAGGAAAGTGCTGACAGGATGACCAGGGAATGGAGAATCACTTTTAGAACAAGTTAAAAGAAACAGGCTTGTTCAGGCAGCAAGAGAAGGTCTGACAGCAGAGTAGAAATATATCCAGGGTAAAAGCTAGGACTCAGGAGTTAAAAACAAATGGTAAAAGATGAGTCAGATGTATTCATTTTTCCATGGGTAAAGCTAGAATTAGACTCTAGGAGAAGGTTCCTGGCCTTCAGAAGGGCATAGGCTTTGGGAGGAATTTGCTGAAGGTGAAATAGCTTGGTTGACTCCATTAGAAGACACTGATCTTGATTCATATCCAGGGGATATTAATGGATTCTTAATCCATATCCAGGGGAACTACAGATGGGGTATGGAGCTATGTGTGGCTTTTCTTACCTCTCTCCAGAATCTTTTGCAGTTTAAAGCAGATTCAGTCACTATGAGAGGTTTTTCTTGCCTTTGATACACAGATGATTATTTGTCCTGAGGAGAATGTGATTTAAGCCCTAAAATGCCCTTCACAGGTGATACAAAATGCAAAATTGTATTTTGTTTTGACAGAAAGCTTTTCAGGAGGTTCATTTGACTAAATCAGTCATTATCTCTAGACCTAAGATAATTTCCTATTTTTTTCCTGAAAATTCCAAATTGCTTTTAAAGTATTTTAACAATATAGCGCGAATACTATTTGTCAGTCTCATTGAGACTGAGTTTGTGCAAGTTTCTGAGTTTGTAATTTTTGTTATCCTCTTTTCCTTCTTGTTTCCTGATCTTTCAATGGGAGAGTATGTTTCCCTGGATGTACTATTAGAATGACTTCTTCTACTTTTAAGCTGATTTTGAATTGATGAAAGTGGTCATATCATTGTTTCTCTTGCAGTAGCTTTTCCTGGAATGTAGCTTGCTACCTTTTGATTAATTTCTTTATCTCCTGGGATGCAAATATGCATTTGTGAACTTTGTATTGAAACCCTGTCACGAACTTGATCTTTCTTCTGATTTCTAATCCTTAATTAAGCATATTGACATATTGTTAGTAGGGATGATAGCCTCCTGTGGAATAGCCAGCAACAGCACTGATTCTGCTGTTATATTTATTTATGAGACATCACAGTACATGGGATTATCACTTTGTTCATTGAAATCTTTGTAAGTCAGGAGGAATTGATCTCTTTCTATGCAGAGAAATCGTACTATTCCCATTCTGATTCAGAGAGAATCTGGCTCAGAAGTAGGTAGGGTTGACCTCAAAAGTTTGGAGAAAATTAGTAGGTGAACTTGGTATGTTTTTTAGAGGTCTTCAAGAGAAATGAAACACACCAGGGCAGATTCTCAGCTGGTGTAAATTGCCATCACTCCACTAAGGTGGATATAGCCAAAGCAGTTTAACCAACTGACAGTCCCTCAGGTGTGCATTTCTTTCTTGTTTTGCTGCTGGTTTTGAGATGAGAGGACTCCAAGTGAACCTTTGGACCAAATTATTCTTTTGAGGCTGGAGCAGGTCACAGATAAAATAAGAGTACAGATCAAATCTAAGCTTTTTCCACATGAGTTAAACCCTAATAATGGCTTCATGCATTCTCAGAATTTGATTCCCTGCAGCCTTTCTCCTGCTTCTGCCTGACCCTGATCTGGAATTAAATTGTTATCAGAATCACTGTAGCATATGTTGTATTACTGTGTATATCAAATAAAAGTTGGAAACTTGGCATATTCAAGACTGGGAATAATCTTGTCTACCACAGAGCACTTTCTGAGAGCCAGCAGTTCATCCAGTGGAAGCACCAGCATCTCCCAAATGCTCCTGCAATCAGGACTGCATCTTAATATTAATAAAGCAGGGAAGAATTAAGGCAACATATGCTGTAACTGTGCAGTCTGCAAGTGAGCTAATGCCTTCTAAGAGTCCTGATCAGATTTCCTGATAAAGGAGCAATGCTGTGCTTTGTCAGGTGACTGCCTCCTCATTATTCAACATGGCATTGTGGGGTTTGTGGTATACTTTGTTTTCTTTGAAACATAAAGATGGGTATTTTTTTTTCATAAAAGTGAAGCCACCAAAACCAAGCATAATTATTTTTGTCTTTGCTGGAAAACATTTTAAAAATGATGCTGCAAACCCCTCAAATGTAAGTCTTAATTATATGGATTCTGTCAAAACTGTTCTATTTGCCAAAAAAAAAAAAAAAAGGTGACTTTTGGTTAAATTAAATTAGCTTTTACAAACATTTTTTTAAAAGTTCATACTTTAATGTTTTTTCATGTAAATAATTTATAAAACTTAAATACGTACCTGACTTAATACCCTGTTTCTCCACTTGGTGTGAGAAATGTTTCAGTGAGTGCAGTTCTCTATTTGCAGCAGGGCAGTCTGAACCTCAGATGTGTTGGTGAGCTGCTTCCTTCTGGTAATTGCATTTTGTAGGGGCAGGGCAGCTCTGTGTACAAACCCCACAACAGGTAAAGCCAAAATATCATTCAAGAGCATGTGACAACATGATTTCACCAGGTCCTGCTGAATTTTGGGAGGAAAGATGTTGAAATTCCAGGTTGGTCCTTAAAGGCCCAAACCCGTCTATGCCCCATCTCCCTTCCTTGATCACATGCACATGACAGGTGTGTTCAGTAGCATAATGAAGTTAAATGTTTTTAATTTTAGCCACAGTTCAGTGGTGGGTTTTGCCCCAGGGACACAGAGTCTATGTGTGTGTACATGCTTGTTTCCTGCTGGGTCTGATAGCAGGACAGGGCTTAGTTCCTTTCCTGCTCAAGCAGAGAAATTACTCTGTAAAATTAATCAGACAGTTTTTATTGTGAGATTAATGTATGAATTAACTATTCAGTGTGATCTGTTTTTTAGTAAATGCATTTATTTACCTTTATTTCTGTTTTTTATACTCTTCTATTAGAATATAATATTTTATTAGAAGTATTTACTCTATGTATTAAAGTACTCTTCTGTTAAAGTGAGAAGCTATGCAGTATAGCCATCCAATAATAGCTATTAATTATTCTGTAAAGTAAAGCTATGGGCAGGAATGTTGTTTGCGGACATGTGGTGAGAATGTTATAAGAAATAGAAACTTTGTGTTATACAGTGAAGTAAGGCTTTTTTTCCTCTATAAATTGGGTTTTGAAAAAATTTCCTTGGGGTTTGGTTTAGTTTAGAACAGATAATTGTAGAAATATAATTTTTAAGGTATTCTACTTTAATATTAATAAATTGATACAATGCTGGTGTAACCATTCATTTTTCACAAGTTAACTTTGACATCAGTGAAAGAAAAGCTTCTTTATTCTTTCTTTGTAATTACAGTGATCACACTATTTTATCTTTCCTGTATTGTGAGCGTTTAAGCACTGAACAGCTTGTTTCAGCCTTTGAAAATTCAAGCCTTAATGAAATATTTAAGTACAATCACTTTTAGTTCTTGCTGAATAGAAAATAATTAAAGTGCAGAACAAAACCATATTTTCCCTCCGACTTCCTAGTAATTAGTCTTTACCTTCCTTTTGAACCACCAATGTTCTGCCTCTTTGTTCTTAGAATTTAACAACATTTTCAGTGCTTTGCTAAAAATTGCAAATTGACACAGGCCTAGTTTCTTCATAGTTTTTGCATTTTAGGAATATAGCATTAAGGAATAATTTAACATGCTTTTCTCCTTTGTAAACCATGCAATTTAAACTACAACAGAGGTTTTCTTCTGTTAACACTTGAATATGCTTGTATTTTATGTTGAAATCAAGAGGCTGTCTTCATGAGGGCTGAGCACTAGAAGTTTTGTGATGTACACTAGTGGAAAGGTTTATATACTGAAGTGAATAAAGAACCTGGAGATCAGACAGAAATCTGTGGATTTATAGGATAAAATCTTAGGAAAACTGCATACATCCAAACATCTGAAAAGCAAACTTTCTCAGATTCTGTTTCTTTGACCTAGTTTGTCCTTGGATATTTAGATACAAATCCACCTCCCAAAGTCAGCATAAGGCAAAATTAAATTGAGTGGGAACAGACTGAGCAGTCAGAAATATGAAATTTGCTCTGAGATAAAGTATCCTCATAGGAGTGCTCCTTCCTTGGGCTATGGACACTGTAAATTTACCTGGCAATGCCAGCTGACTGAAATGGTCCCTTGGTATTTCTTCTGGAGGCTTCCCTTGTGGCTTAGGAGCTCAGCTTAGGCTTCATTAAATGCCCTGACACAGAAGGATAAGAGCTGATCCATGCTTTGATCAACGCTGATCAGTGTTGGCATTAATCCACAGGCACTTCTAACAAAAAAAGTTCTATTTTCTCTGATGCTGTTCTGACTCATTACAGTTAATGGCCTTTCCTGAGAAATGCAGCAGCATTTATTAAGAAATGAGGTGAGGACTCGGAAATGAACCAGAGGAGGGCTGGCTATGCTTTGAAACTTCTGTAGTATTTACATAGTTACACACGCACGCAGCCTGTCTTGTGCTCTGGGTGAATTTATTTTTAAAAACTCTCCTATGCAGCTGCTTCTCTGTCCTTCAGCACAGAGTGGGTGTTCTGGCCTCACTCTGCAGCAGATCACACAGTGATTGGCTAAATGCCATGGCAGACCAAGGACTTGAAGCTGAGTTTGTGCTCCTCCAGCCTGGAGAAGAGGAGAAGGAGAGGAGACCTCATTGCAGACTGCAATCTCCTTGAGGGGAAGAGGAGGGGCAGGTGCTGATCTCTGCTCTGTGAGAAGAGTGACTTACTGGACCCAAGGGACTGGTGGCCTGCACATGTGTCAGGGGAGGTTTAAGTTGGATATTAGTAAAATGTTTATGTTGGATATTAGTAAATGGTTCTTCACCAAGAGGGTGATTGGGCAATGAAACTGGCTCCCTGTGAAATGGTCACAGACCAAGCCTTGACAGAGACAAGAAGCATTTGGTCAATGCTGTCAGGCACATGGTGTGATGCTTGGGGATGGTGCTGTGCAGGGTAGGGAGGTGGACTTGATGGTCATTGTGGGTCCCTTCTAACTCAGCACATTCTGTGATTCTGTCATCTGTATGGCAAATATCAATGTACTTTGCTCAAAGTTTGAGCCAGGGGCACTGGAGAAACTGAGAAATCGCTATGATAACTGTGTCCCACTGGAGGGCTCCCCAGCACTTGCAGTAATCCTCCTCTTTAATGGCTATCTCAGTTCTAGGGCTGTCTCTTCTCTGCAGTGCAGTGCATTGCAGAGCTGCTCCCCTGCAGAAGAAATGGGTTTAGAGATGGGTATGTGTGTGCATTCAAGACTCAGTCCTGCACTCTATGGGTATTTTTAATCACTGCCCTCAGTATTGGTATCAAGAAACTGATGCGCTAAATCACCTCAGAATTTAGTATTACTCTTATTTTGAATTTTGTTTTGATTCCTCAGTGAGGTTGGCTAAATATCTTCACTGCTTCTTAACTGATTACAGTTTTAGAATTGTAAGGGCAGTTATTTTGGAATTGTTCCCTTTATTGTTCTTCAATTTTCAATAGAAGCCTTCAGTACAATCCAAATACTTAGAAGTACTCCAAAGGGAAAGTGGCTACACAGCTACACTTGAAGTTGACTGCTTTATTCTTTCTCAGCTGTTTTGCTTTAATTTCATTTGAAGTTAAAATAAAATAATTGTTCAATTTAATTTATGAACAGTTTTTAATTTTCTGTTGAGATTTCAGGTGGTTGTTGAGTCTTGAGAGTCAAGTGCTTTAGAAGGATACTATTACTAGAAAGCTTCAGTGATCTCAGAGAAAAGTGTATGAAAGTGAGTTAGTGATCTGTTTTGTGTGTAGCAATGCAATAGCTTTCTACAGTTCTCCATTTCATCTGAAATGAGTTAGATGAGGCAGGATGTGTTGGGAAAAAAATCATTAATTATAAATGAACTTTTGTGATTATTGTAACAGATGCTCTTAAAAGTGTTAATTATTGTCAATTTAACGTCTTTACATTTTTTCAGACTGCACTTTATACTAGCTTACCTTGAAATTTAGCTGATGTGCCTGGTTACTTTTGGACTCATGATTGTCTTTTTCCTGCATCAGCTGCAGTGTTTCAAAAGTCTCAAATTTTTAGTTGGATGCAAAAATTCACTTCTTCAAGGAAGTTCTTAGGTCATCTTTGCTCTTGTCTTTTAGAGATCACCTGAGCCTGTCTTACTGACTGTTAGATGATGGATGAGAGACTTCTGGGGCTGTTGACTCTAAATCATGATTCTATCCCATAGAAGTTCACAACTATGATTTGCCTGTATGTATCCAGAAATAAGTTTTCAAATGCATCTTTTTAATCACAGTAACAATTTTTTCTAAGCCATCTTGCTGCTGCATCTTGCTTCTTACTCCATAAAGCAACTTTGTGTAGCCTTTTTGCTTTCCCCAGCCCACTGCAAATGTTGAGGCTTATTCTGGGATTTAAAAAGAATTACCCTTCTTAAGGTATTTGTGTATTACTTGAGGGAGGCTTCAAATCATAATTAAAAAAATCTCCACTTATACGAAGAATTATTCAGCTGTGAGGAAAATTATTATTGGTGAAACTCTCCTATTCAGCCAAGTTCTTAACCAAGGGATATTGTGCGAGTTCATGTGAATGAATTTTTCATCCTTCTTAATGCTCTGCTGGTATTATTTACTTCCAATTTTTCCTGATGAAGGAAAATATGCACAGCAAAGTACAGTAAAATTATCAAAATGTTTCATGTTCACTTGCTGAGGGAGCAGCCTAGAGAACCATTCCTAATTATTCAGAGAATGGAGGTATTAAGATTGTGTATTAAATAGAAGGCAATTTTAGCACAATGATGAGTATCATCCAAGGATGTTGGAGCACTTTTTTGGTTTATATATCCTATGTGCTTTGTAATTTCTATTTTATCCTGGTAGTCCACTAGAAACGCAACAGCTCATGTTGACTCTTTACAGTTGGAGAAGAGTACCTTTGTTTTCTGGGGACTCTGTTAAAATGCACGTTGCAATAAATGTACCAGGATTCTTTTCCATTAGAGACATTGTGTGTCAGTGAAGTGTAACAAACAAAACAATAATGAATAGACTCTGGCTGCACAAAATGTTAGGTCTATAAATATATTTTAAAAGACACATCAGCAAATATTTAAAAATAATTGCAAATTCTTCAGTGATGCAGACACATAAATGAAGGAATTTTGCTGGGGCAATTATAGTGTCTCCTGCTGCTCTGCCGAAATTATAGCATCATACATGAGACCTCCCAGTGTTTGCAGTAACTAGAGATTTAAGGTTTAGAACTTGGAGGTGTGGGGAAAAGATGTTGTAAATAACTGCACAGGTTTCAAATCTAACAGGATGCCTCTGGTGCTTTAATATTGCTGCCCTTGTCCAGGAGCATTTGCCACTCTCTATCAAAGATTTGGGATGGCTTATCTTTGTGAATACTGTAGGAATGTACTGTAGTCAAAATATTCAGGTGAATACTTTTAATGTGCATGATGACTAAAGACATGTACTTTCCAGAGCTTAAACTATTCTGTGTATGCCCCCAAGAGTTGATGGTGTCACTTAATTTACAGAGCAAAGTGGGGAATGTCTTTGAATGTTAGAAGCTATCCTTGCATCATCTTTTGTTTCCTCTAAAAGGCTGAATCTGTTGCCTGTTGTCTCTGAACATCTCATGATACCATTCTTTAGAGGGACAGTAGGACATCTTCTTTGGGATCACACAGGCAGTAAGCACACAGCTGGAAGTTGAACATTTCTTGCTCCCAGCCCTATGTTACATTCTTGTCCCTGCTGGCAAGAGTGCCATGTATATACATAAGTAGAGAAATCCTGGTAAGCTATTTAAATCTAATTATCTGTGACTTTTAATCTTACATATATTTCTCTGAAATTAACAAGGTATTCAAAAATTTGCATTCTTTTATAAAGCTGTTTGTTCTTTATATGTCTAAATTTCTCCTTTTTTGTTTTTGAATAAGCTTGATTAAAATGTTGATTATGTCAAGAAACATTTCTGCATTTTCTAGTTATATATCAAGTGATGAGACTACTGAAAGAGTTTCTCTGCAAAAGTGAAAATATGAGGTTTTTTTGAATTTTTTTTCCATGGTTATTAAAAATTAAGCAAAACATACATCTGTTTTTATCCATGGTTTATTACTCATCTTTTAATGAGAGAATTAAGATAATAATTCTTGAAATTTTTAAAGATCTACCTAGAGGGAATGCTTGAATCATGCGTGTTTTATATGGAGTGCTTCATGGGTCCTTCTGGTTTTATTCGTATGAGTTATAATATGGGAACTGAAGTGTGACCCTATCCAAAGCTTGTGGGTTTTTGGATCTCCATTTACATCTTAGGACCGTTGGTTTTACCTGAAGAATGTTGTTGCTTCTTCAGAGGACATAGAAATAGATGCTTAGATGAGTTCAGCCTATGTGTGCAGGCAGAATCTGACCATGTGGATAAATATGTCAAAGTACACTTGCTCCTACCCTGTAATTCTTAACTGGGGATGAATGAAAATTACTCTGATGGATGACTGATCATGTTTCTCTGACTAGATTGTATCTTGTTCACCAACATTTTAGCTCTTAATAGGGTCTGATATTGTAAAAAAAAAAAATCTTATTGGAGTTTGATTTTATAGGAAGACATGGTTACATCTCCATTTATTTTTTGACATTGTTAAAGCAGAGAGTTGGTCCAACTGTGACTCTATCAGCTGTGAACAGTGCTCTTTGCCTTTGGCCAAATTTTAGTCTCCTAATGTTTTCGCTTTGCCTGGAGTGAGTCACTGTGACAAACAAATCCCTGAAAATAAGAACATATAATGAAAAAGCTGACAAGACCCTTAACAATAGCAGAGCCATGGGCTTTGGTATAAACAACATAAAAACAGAGTGAGTTTGATTGTCATCCTGGAATTTCCCTCTTTTGTTGTATTTCTTGTCCAATTGCCTGCATGACCATTTCACAGCAGTACCTCCTGGCATATTCCAAAAGCTGTGGTTATTCATTGACAGGCTCTTGCCATAACCCAGCAATAAAATGTACATTGGGATGGTAACTGTTCTTTCCTTTAAAATAGAGTAAATATAGAAAACCAAAGCTGGCTATGGGATAAAGTAGTAGTTAAATCAAGCCTAAACAACTAGATCTCTGTGATGTGTTGGGATATTGGGGCTTGTTGGCATGGGAGGCTGTGAGAATGCCTAGCTGTGTGCTAGTGAGACACCGTGTGATGCTTAAAGATAAACACAATCCCTTCTCCTCTTCATCTCCATGTCTTATTTGAAATGAAAAGACGCTGGATGCAATGTCCGTGGTACAACTCAAAGACAGTCTTAGTCCCCAAACAGGCATATTTTGTTGTGGGTTGACCTTGACTGGACACCAGACATACAGCAAGTCATTCTGTCATTCCTCTCCTCAGTAGGACAGGAGCAGAAAATAAGATTGAAACAAACTTGTGAGTTAAGATAAAGGCAGTTTACTAAAGTGAAAGCAAAGCCAATGCAAGCAAATAAAGCCCAAAATATTTTGTTCTCTGCTTTCCATCAGCAGGTGATGTCTGGCCACTTCCCAGGAACCAGGGCTTTGGCCTGTGTAATGATTACTCCAGAGGGCAAATATCATAAATATCATCACAAATGAATAATAAATAATGAATGTCCCCTGCTTCCTCCTCCTCTTTTCTCCTAGCTTTTATAGCTGAGCAGACACCATATTTTATGGAATAGCCTTTATTCAGTTAGGGTCAGCTGCCATGTGTCCCCTCCCAAGATCTTGCCCTCCCTCCCCTGCTGGTGAGGGTGGGATGTTGGGGAGGCAGCACTGATGCTGTGCCAGCCCTGCTCAGCAGCAGCCAAAACAGTGGTGTGTTATCAGCACCTTTCCAGCTACTAGTGCAGAGCACAGTGCTGTGAGGCTGCTGTGGGGAAAATTATCTCCATCTTAGCCAGGCCAAATACACCTGGACAGCATGCTGGGCAACCAACACCCCTAAGAAGCTTTGCAGAAAGAAACAAATATGCGGAAGCATAGGAAGTTGTTTTGTATTTAGCTGCCGGCTTCTGGTCTATGAAAAGCCTCTCCTTACTTTTCTATTTTTTTTTTTCTCCAGAACAAGGTCTCTGAATCTCTTTTTTACTTTGTCTCAGCTGCTTGAGATTGGGAAGAGCAATGCTTTGTTGCTTTTATTTTTAAATATTTTTAGTAGGTGCATGTCTATTGCTTTTTCCTAGTTGGAAATGTGTTAATTAAAGCATTCAGGAAAAGTCCAATCCTATGTAATTAGGTCATGACTATTAAGATCAGTGTCCCTATGGAACAGCATGGATGTTCCGATTGCCCTGTTTTGTCCTAGCCCTAAATAAGGATAGCAATGCTGAATAAATATACAAGGTTTAAATCATGGGCCCCACTTTAGGTACTGTACCCAGCCAAGGATCCAGGAATAATTCATAAATAATTTGACTGACATGCTTGTAGGGTAAACTTCAGGTAAACGTTTCTGGTGCTTTATGCTACTACTGCAACACAGCCACAGAAATCGGTTTGAAACCTATAGTACCAACATAATTCCTAATTTTTGTCTATAGGCCATAGGCTAAGTGGCTGCATTTTGTTATCTGATAAATAATGAGCCCTTCAGTCTTTTGTGTGATGTGTGGAGGGAAAACCTCAGATCCCTGGAGACAGGGATGGGAGATAAGGAAAAAGGACTATTCCTAGACTGGATTATCTCCATTAATTCTTTCCTTTATTCATGTTGTCAAAGTTACTATGCTAATAAACTGGAAAGATTAAGATTGCAGACTTGAGGAGATTTTGATCATACTGAAATATATTAAATGTAGATTTATTAACAGAATTTTCTGTTTTCAATAACATGCTTTCATACTTCACCTGTCCTTGACCGAATAAGATACAAAAAAGCCCCATCTGCTGTTGTTATGAGGTTACAATTCAATAGATAATCCAATTATATGCCTTTCTGAAGCTAGGTCAGATCACGCACAGAATTGTATTGATTACATTTTAATGCCAGCACTGTCATGGCAGCAGAAGGGCAAAACACCAGTCAGCTGCCACAGAGCAGGTGGGTTGCCATGTGATATATTGCACTGCTGTGAAGAAACTTTAGGCAGTTTCAGTGGTTGCTGAGTTATTTTTGATACCCCTGAAAGGTAACAACTTAATCACCACTCTAACTTGTTGACGCTATTGTTAGCTGTTCTCTATACTGGTGCCCTGTCTTGAAGCTGTACATTTTATTGAAGAGTTCTGATAAATGTTATTTGCTCATGTTGGGAGGGTCCCAAAGGTTGAGAAGCAATGAAAAACCTCAATTCTTTATGCTAAAGATTGAGTGAAATTTCATCATTGAATTGCAAGCTTGTAATCCACTAATCTTCTGTCTGATAGAAAAGATTGTGGTTTTTTGGCCAGTGTCTAAATTTAAAAAATGCCCTGAAATGTCTTCTTGATTTTTATGATGGTGCCTGCCACTTGCCAAAGAGGAATGGATTCCAGGCGCTTAACTTTCTGTTTCTGTTTCCTTTTTTAAAATGTTGCAGAACAGAAGCCAGAGCTGTTAATGATGTGAGAGGATTCACAGGTAATCTGAAAATTCCTCCTTTTGATGGGAATCATATTTGCATCTCCCCCAAATTGCCTTAGCTATTAGGCAGTAGTCCATCTGAACAGATAATGTTTCCTCTCTTACTGTTGAAGGCTTGCTGATGTGTAGGAAAAAACATCAGGGCTCTTCTAATCTATCTGTCTGTTCCTCTTACTTCAACCTCCCACCTCAAATCATGTCTACTCTTTTTTCTTCTAATGCTTTTTGTCACTTGATTTTGTGCTCTACCCTCCAAGTGACACTGTGCACTTCAGAACATTATGTGAACAGAGTGCCACAGAAAGAACCATGGTTGGAAGCAATGATTCTCAAGCTGTGATTCTGGGAGTATCAAAGGTCTCTAAAGGCTTTTCTGAATTTATGTGAACAAGATGTCTTAAGAATTGGAAAAGAATAAAAAATAGTGACTAAGGATGCTAGGAAGGGACTCTATGATTTTCTCTGATTAAGATATCTGTAGAATGAAATGTTGGCAGATTTGCTGGGCTGAAATAAAAGCTGTGTTCCCTTATGCCTTCTTTTCTGGAGTTACAGGGCCATGATGTACATTGCTAGAAGCTATCCTATATGGCCTAATAAAGAATGCAGCTCCTCCATGGATGTCATAATCTACCCACAATATCTGGAAAAGAATATGAAAACAATGAATGCTCCAGATAAGTTTTGTTAGCTGCCTATGGAAATGGCAGTGCTACCTATATACTGGTATATCACAAATTCATAGAAAATGACAGTAAATTAACACTTCCTTTGTGGCAATAGAAGTGAGTTAGCATTTTTTTCTGGGAAACAATTAGGGTTTTATTGTTTTAATAGTTAAGGATTCGCTTTTAACTTTGAGAGGTTTGCTTGTTATTGAGCTTTGTGGAATTCTTGATAGATTCTTTTGATAAGGAAAGATGAAATTACACAATCTATGAAGCACAGAGAACCTTGTGTGCATGCACATGTACACAGAGAAATATGTAAGTGTGCATATATGTGTGTATACATCTATACACACACAGAGAAGTGTGTATTTTAGAAATATCTCTCTATGTGTCTGTATATATACATATATTCATAGACACACACTTTTACATATACAAATGTGAAAAGTGTGTTTTCCCCTTTCATATTATGGTCAGAGTTGTGCTGAAAAAATATTTTGCAAATCTTTTAATGAGATAAATTTAAATCTGTTGAAGTTGTAAAAAGTTAAAACAAAAATGAGAATTCATTTACTATCTGAGAAGAGGTATTGCTTTGCTAATGCTCAAGGGGCATGACTTTTTCATATTAAAATAAAGTGATATTTTAACATTTACTGTACATATTAGCAATACAGCATTTAGTAGGTTATATTTGAGGATTGTATGTGAATTGTTTTGATTTGATCTTAAAATTCCGTTATGAAGTAATTTTCCTTAATGTTGAATATTAGTAGCAAAAAAAAATCTTATTCCCTCTTATTGCTTTTTCCATGTATAGTAGATTGTGAAAGATCTTTCAGATTTGTAAGCTATTCAGGATCAAGAGCCTAGTATGTATTTGATGAATTTCATATGATACACTTGAAGAATGGGTTCCTAGGAGGGCTCAGATGATGGGATAAGGAACCTTTATCTCTTTCCTCTTTAATACTATGCATTATGACACATGCTCAGAAAAGTAATTTTTTAGGAAAAGAAAAAGAAGAAAACTAGAGATTGAGCACTAGTAATTTCTGCTCATGGTGCATCTCTCATTTTCCATTCAAAGCTAAATGGCCTAATTTTCTTAAGTATCCAGCATGAATGGTTCAGCAGGCTGTGGTTATGAAATTCCACTCTGCCTGGTTGCTCTGCATCATGAAGTTGGGTTATTATCTGTCTAATGTATTCAATCTCAAGGGTTAAGGAGAGAGAAAGACAGGGGCTAGGAAGTTAATCACTGCAATCTCCTCTTGAGAAATAACCTGAGAAATGGTGGGCTCTGCTACACGTCTGGAAACAGAAACAAATCTGTGTGCTGAGATTAAAGGTGAATGGGCTCAAAAACCACGGCTCTTTGCCAGAGAAAGTCCTGATTACAGCAAGGGGGATCCAGATAAAGACTTTTTGTTACCCTTTGTTATGGCTGTCAGCTATCTTTCATATCATAACAAAGGTAATCGCTTAGAGTCTCAAAGATTAAAGTAAAAATCTTACATCAGAATCCAGCAGCTTTACTGAGAAATCAATTGGAAAGCAGAACTCCTGGGCAGTGAATTCACTCAAACCAGACTGCAGTAATCTTTATTTCCTGCCCATTGGTTGAGTTGTTTTTTAAGACAAGTTAAACACTGCCTTGTGTTTTAAGACAAGTTAAGTTCTATTTGGGAAGGTTAGCATATTCTTTCTGGGAGAAAATCCTGTTCTTGTCCATGTCACCATTTGGATATAAAGCAGTAGCTCCAGATAAAACAACCAATTACTCATCTGCTTCTGTTTAGTTTAACTAAATAATTTAGTTTAGATTAGTTTACAAGATGTTCATAAGAGAATGCTTAATGATTATTCCAGATTTTCAAGACAAATTATACAAAAACTTGGGAAGTTTATGATCTACTACAGACAGTTTCTCTGCCAATTTTTCTGTGGCTAATGCAAATATTTAAACCGTCATGGTTCTGGGGTGAAGCATCTGTAATTAGTTGGCAAATTGTTTGCCTCTGCATTAGATATTTTAATACATGCATTGGAGCAACTGTCCCA